CATGGACGTCTCTCCTGGAGCCTACTGCTACCACCTAGCAGCCCGCTGGCCCGAGCTACCCCGCTACAGGGACAGAAAGAAAATAATTAAAGAACCAAGGCCAAAGGATCAGGAAAGAGGCAAAAGAAAGGGGTATAGGGAGCAGATAAGAAGCAGAGGTGGAGCAGGTCCTTTAGAAAGAGGAAGGTTCCCTAGGGACGAGGCATGGCATTTATGCAAGCCAGAGGCTGGCCGCGGCCGGGGCAAGGAGGACGATTTGCCATGAAGATGCCGGTGAAGAAACAATCTACGTGCCCGCCATCAGGGAATGAGGCATGGTCACTGGCAGACACCTGCCACCAGAGCGTCTTCACAGGCCTGCACGGGACAGAGCTGCATTCTTGCCCTCCAGCATGGCCCCAAGACGACCAAACCAGCTGGTGGTGGATTCAGGACCAGAGGAGGTCCAGGACACCTCGAGCCTCTTCATGCTCCCCAGTCTGACTGCGTTTCCCCTACAGCAGAGACAACTCCGGCGTGGGTGTCCCCAGGCAGGTCAGGAGTGATGCAGGTTGTGACTTCCACATCCTCTGTGCTGCGAGACCCCCTGGCAGCTGTGACAAGTCTACTTGCCCCCCTCACTCCCTCCAGGCCAGGAGTCCCCCTCTGTCCCTGCCTGGTGAACGTAGAGACTGTCTCCATCCCTTTAAGACTTGAAGGGCACGCAGGTGGGCCTGGAGAATAGGAGCTCGGAAGCCATCTGATGCCAGTCCAGCGGGTCTGGCTTGGGTCGGGTGGGGTGTGCCCAGGACCCACTCCCCCTTCTCCCTTTTGTGGACTGAAGAGCAAATAGGGACACGTCCTAGAATGCAGTCTGCTATGGACGAGGCTTGGAGGAGGGGACGAACCAGAGGAACACGGCACGCTAAAGCAACCCTGAGTCACACAGCACACAGAGGCCTGGAAGTCTTGCTGAGAGCAGGAGCCCAGCCCCCCCGGAGTCGGACCCAGGGATGAGTGCCCTTCCTGGGGCACAAGGAAGAGTGTGCAGGACCCACGACCTGTGCGCCATGTCTCCGTCACGTGCCATCTTGACCAGCCTCATCTATGGTACCCTGGTGGGGAGGTGGGCAGAAACTGTTTCTGTAGCCTTCCCCGCACCTCACCAACGGTACGGCACCGAAAAGGTCCCCCACAAACGGCGAAGATGAAGGGCAAGAGCGT